CCCCCCCCCCCCCCCATCGCGAGAAAAACAAGAACGAGGACAAAATCGCTATCGCTGCCAGATCCTTATCCCATTTACAGCTGCACCCGGTGTGAGCAAAGGTTCGACACAAACAAAGGTAAGGACCGGGACTCTCTACAGTGATGTAGATGCACAAGCATAACATTCCTACATCCATACATTCAGCAATCATACACATCGCGCAATCGAGATGGACAAAAGCAGGGACAAGTGTGAGCAAAAACCCAAGTCTCGGTTCCCGAAGGCTGAAAATGACAAAAAGAATGGGCAAACCGCCCGGAGCCGTAGTCAAAATGTATGTACACAGACGAAGCGGGGTAAGAGACAAAGAAACAGCAAACCCACGTCCATCGACCTCAACTCTCTCTCCCTCTCTCTCTCTCCGATGCGGACAGTCCGTCGTCACGCACCCACCCACGAAGTTGTCACCCCTGATCACGCAACCTCGAGCTTCCAACAACAGGTCAAGAGAGCTGACTAATCACGCAGCCGAAATTTATAGCGTGCATGCATGCGTGAAAAACGCGGAATTACCAGGACTTAGAGTGAGGATTAGAAAGGCAACGCCTGCGTTCTACATGATCGGCCACGGCGCGGGGGACGTAACCCTTCTCCACGCATCGATCCGAGCATGCAAACCGCGACTTACCAAACTTCAGCAAAAGAAAGAGAGGGAGGGCGGGAGAGACGAAGTGCAAGAGGAAAGATACAGTTACAATTGCGCCCGCCCAAAATTGCACTCACACTCACGATTAAGAACACCCACTAATCAGAGTACCGTGGCAGTCGCATGAAAAAGCGCGTAGACAAAAGGTGCAGCGCGGTAGAGAAAGTCCTAATTACTGAATTCCTAAATTCCTAACTAGTGCGGAAAAGTAAAAAGCATACATTCCAGAAAGAAAGTCCAAAATCCCGAGAGCCATCGGGGCTCGACAAAATTCGAAAACGATTCAAAAGGAAATTAAAAAAGAACGAAAAAAATTCCCGCGCGATGTCTGCGCCCAAAAGATCGAACCCGAAACGAAAGAAACGACGCCAATATTTATTAATCGTGCGCGTGGTGGCGCGCGAGACATCCATCCGACCAATCGCCCAGCCGGCCATCCCCGGACACAACCAGCCCCGAAGAAGCGACGAAAAAAACGAAGAACCAAGGGTACTGATGCAATTTTCCACCGATCCCGATTTCCCGTAAGTGGCCCAATCTTCCCAGCTTAGGTCCCCTCGTTGCAACCGCGCAGAAACTCGCGCGTTACAGAAAGTGGTTCGTCACATATGTGACGCCCAGGGGGTTCCAATATTAGCAAGCTCCTGCTTGCTTGTTGACACGTGTCGATTTCTCTAATCGATCGACACGCTGAGCACTTCTCTTCATGCCACTTACCGTTTGATCGTGTGTAGACGTCATCCAACGTGGCAACTTGGCTCTTCTACTATCTCCTCAGATTGGGCTCTCGACCATTCAAGGACGGGATCGTCCTCGTGTCGTCGCCGCGACACGCGTCCATTACCTGCTGCATCAGTAATTAACCGTGAGGGGGAAAGGAAGCTGGTACATGGCGGCATGGCGGGGCAGAGGGCTTAGGGGTAGCGGGGGCAGGAACCTTTCCATCCCGGCTGCAATCTCCGGGAGTTCTTGGTAACGGACAATGCGATGGAGACGGGGGAATAGATTGCCAGTGCGAGGGAGGGACGCGAGATAGTCGGGGTAGAAGGTGGTAAAGGTTCAAAAGAGCGCCCCACGGAAACGATCGCGATCTTCGCATGCGGGGATGGTCCCCGCTATCACGCAATAAACCTCAATCATATTGTGGCCTTGCCACGCGACATTGAAAAGCAACACATGGAGCCGGATGGAGGCAAAAGGCCGGGACGGTGCATCGGAGGGAGGGATGGGGATGCACTACGACAGCGAGGTGAGCGACATAGAAGTGGCGGAAGGTACTGCGGGGGAACGGATTGGAGGGGAACGTGACGGGGGTGGTGAGCTGGCGAAGGGTGAGGTAGTCAAGGGGACGGCGAGAGAATAATCGGGGACGAAGGCCGATCGCCCATATCGGTACGTCGGCGAACTGAGGGACGGGTTGGGGAGAGGGGGGATCGGCTTCGTTGCCATACCGATGGGTCCGGAGTCGTGGCCGCGAGGTTGCCATCTTCAGGTCGGGGCGGCTCCGGATCTCGGTTCGGGTCGTCGCAGATCTGTAGACTCGCCGCACCTGCGAGTTCTAACTCCGTCTTCCCGGCCGCGATCTCTTCCCTTTTATGGGCCGCCTCGGGATCTTCTGCCTCTGTACCTGTGCACAGCGCTTCTTCCGGCACGGCTTCCCACTCTAATCTAGCAGATTCTTCTTCGTGCCCTTCTTCTCCTTCTTCATCTTCTTCCTCTTCTTCGCTCCGCTCCCCCTCGCTATGCTCGCTATAGCTTCCTTCTTTGGGGGTTTCGTCTTCTTCCCCGAGTACTTCGTCGCCTTCCTCACTTTCTTCCCGCTCGTCTTCCTCGTCGTCACTCTCAGTGCTTTCTTCCTCCTCTTCCTCCTCTTGGATGGCCGCAAGCTGCTCCGCCGTAGGCTGCCTGAAGAAGGCAGGGTCACGAATCGCCCCGGGATCCAAATGTTGTCGCTGCGACGGMGGGATGCGTTCCGCGGCTCCTTCTACGCAAGCCGRCCACTGAAGATGAGGTGTCAAGGTGCGAGAAAGGACATGGGGAACTGGATGCTCGTCGTCTTGCGAGATGATGTCAAGAGGGAGGTTGTCCGCCAGCTGCGCTACCGGGATCGTGAGCTCTTGCGTGAYAAGTTCCTGATGGYCRRGCCGTACTGCACCGRATRAGAATGYGAGGAGCTCTCCCTCCACGTTGGTGCGCCAGGCTTGGATAAACAGCAACTCCAGCCGCTCTATGCAAGGCGGGTGCGCTTCGTCCTCGATCCACGTCAGTCGTACTTCGACCAAGCACAATGAAAGCTCTACGAAGTCTTCGCGCCACAGGTCCCAGTATGGGGGATAAATGTCGGGGACAGCAAGGGTCGTTAGGCAGTAGGAAAGGTGAGGATGGATATCGAACTGCCAGAAGGTGGGGAAGGTGGAGGGGAGATCAAAGATGGAGATTGGAGAAAGACTCATTGGGGGCGAGGGAAAGGAACAACAAAAGGGAGGATCGCCGGCGGATCACGTTGGTACATCCGAAGGTCGTCGTATTCGATTGCTCGTATCGTTGCGACTGTGTCCCCGGGGCGAGCCAAAAGTTGGGTCCACTCGGCGACCAGGTCGTTTGCCCACGCGCGCAGCGATGTCCTCACCACCGAATGTTGTAAAGGGAGGAGTGTGGAAAGATCGCCACGGAAGTTGATGACGACCGATATGCGGCTGACACCTGGTACCGCTCGCTGATGAACCGCTACTGCCTCGGCCAGTACCACTGTGTTGGGCCGACCTTCTATTCTGAACACCGCCGCCGCGTATACACCTTCCGTGCAGAAGACGTGCGCAAGTCGCCGAAGGTCTGGACTGAGGTAGGGATGATAGACCTGTCGGATCGTCAGTCGATCACGGGGAGCAAGCGCTGCTTCGCTGAGGGCTCTCTCCTCCAGAAAACTCTTGGCGATGGCGATGGTGACGGGGAGGCAGAGAGGGAGCAAGAGGAAGAGGGAGATGCCAGAGAGGCAGAGCCGTTGTCCTCGGCTTCCTCATAGAGAGAAAAAGAGGGAGAAGGAGTCGGAGCAGAGGGGAGGGGGCGGAGATAGGACACGTGGCGTGTGATCGGACGAGCCGATCAACTGCCAGAGACTTTAGGGGTGAGGCGCACGGTGTCCACGCCGTTGGGGCCGAGCTCGATCACGCGATATTGCCCGAAGAATCGTGGCACTAGCTTACCCTGGCGAGAACATTTCCTCACCTGCACCACGTCCCCCAATTGGTACTGGGGCTGCGGACCCTCATTCCCATTTCGGGCTTCGTAGCTCCGGACCTATCGGCCCTGGGTTAGTTCGGTCATTTTCTGTCGCTTTCGGGCTAGCCTGGGCAGCGACCGTTCCATTAATTCCAGGTGCCGTTTGGCCTTGTCCCGAGCTGTGGCCTTGGTGGGCCGTCGGGTTAATGTAGTCTCATCCGGGAGGCTCGGTATCAAAACACAAGCGACACTATTGGTCCTTAATCGGAAGGGGCTTAGCCCCATCGATTCGTGGGGCGTTCCGCGATGGACCGCCAGGATGTGATCGGCGATATCGGGCCAAGGTCTCGGATCCCGTGCCGCGATGTTTCGTCGCAACGCTATCTTTATCACCCAGTTAGCGTTTTCGACCAGCCCATTGGACTGTGACATGTGAGGTGCAGTGTTCCGTATGGCGACGACGTGTAGGACCAGATTCCTTAACACTTCTCCCCTGAATTCAGCCCCCTGAATACTCGCAACTATTAGGGTCAGGGGGCACCACTATGTCGGTATTGTCCATGCTCACTCTTTGAAATGGCCGTTCAACAACCGTGGGTACTATCGATCTTGGCGGCTGAATCGGCGCTTCATCAGCGGCGCAGACCTGACAGTTGGCAACGATGTACTTCACATCGTCGCGGATATTGGACCAATACCACTCATTTTTGTCGATAGCGGACTCTGTGATTCGCACGGCAAAATGAGCCGCAGTAATGCAGGCCGATAGCGGCCGAGAGCGCGCGCCGATTCTGAGCGCGCGCCCCCGCCTGGGCGTGGTGCGGCCGCGCGCAAACTCGGCCGCGCGGTCTTGACCGCGGACTAGGATCCTACGGCCGCGGCCGAGGGTGCCACGTAGCCGGGTGGTGCAAAAAACGAAACGAAACGACCTTCAAACTCGCGAGGCCTCGTGAGGCCGAAAATCATCGTTTCGTTTCGTTTGTTACACCAACGCCGCATAGCACATGGGAAATCGCTCACGGAAACAGCCTGACAACTGTTGAGGTGCCTGACTTCCGCAAATGCCCATTTTTTTTTGGACGGACATCCCTTGGACCGAGACGGACGTGCTGCACTCACGTGGATTTGCAGCTCCACCAGCAAACCTTTGGAGGACCTACGAGGCCGCGCAATTTACAGGTGGGGACGGCAGAGGCTCATGCTTACACTCGCGAACGTGAACTTTGTCATCAATCGCAAGTTTTCTCTGACAGGATCCGCGAGGGTGCTGTGCGGCGAAACGTTCAGGAAACGTAAATTTTTTTTCGTGTAGCGTGCTGTCCGGCGAGCCCCTAAGTGCAACCAGACCTCGAGTTCGACACGATTCTCATATTTTTCACTCTCCACGCACCCGCCACGGAATGTGATGGATGGCGAGTAATGCAACGAGGCCCTAACAAACGAAAAGAAACGGTGATTTTCGGCCTCGCGAGACCTCGTGAGTTTCAAGGTCGTTTCGTTTCGTTTTTTGCACCGTCCGGCGAGGCCCTAAGTGCAACCCGCCTCGAGTTCGACACGATTCTCATATTTTTCACTCTCCACGCACCCGCCACGGAATGTGATGGATGGCGAGTAATGCAACGAGGCCCTAACAAACGAAAAGAAACGGTGATTTTCGGCCTCGCGAGACCTCGTGAGTTTCAAGGTCGTTTCGTTTCGTTTTTTGCACCGTCCGGCGAGGCCCTAAGTGCAACCCGCCTCGAGTTCGACACGATTCTCATATTTTTCACTCTCCACGCATCCGCCACGAAATGTGACGGATGGCGATTAGTGCAACTAGGCCCATTGGCTCACATATAGGGCCTCGCTGCACTACTCTAGACTCTCGAAATATTTTGAGAGTTCGGCTAGCGTTGTCAGAGAGGCGAGACTCTCGAAATACCCGCCTTCGCTGAATTTACTCTATAAGCTATCACACTTGGTGAACTCTCGAAACCCTGGGTGTCGTCCTACTCTACAGAAAAGCTTCACCACTGCGCTACGGGACAAAGTCTGGCCCCCGGGATAGGAGGTCCACTCTTGAAAAACGAGCCTGTCGGCGGGCAACTTGCGAGGACACTTGCAAATTCAGTTTTTGCAGGGGGGGGACTCTCGACATTTCGAGAGTTTTGATATAGGGTCTTGCTCCACTACTGTCCACTGTACAATTTTTCGGACAGTTGGTGGACGGTTGTCAGAGCAAAATATTGTACAGCGGACAGTGGAAAATGCGGCATCGCTCCACTTACTGTCCACTGTACAACTGAGCAGATCTTCTCGAAAACTTGCACGTACAGTGGACAGTAGTGGAGTGATGACGCCGCTGTCCGAGCCAGAAGCCTCGTGGGACATGCGGGTCCCAATTTTTTTTGGCGGGAATCCTGAAAGTGATCTGGCCTCTGCCAAATCGGAATGGCCGTTCGATTTCGTCATCGCAAGGCTCGCGGTATACCGAGTAGTGTGTCCGCAGAGCTGGGTGGACATCTGAGCAGTGTCCCGGAGTACCAGTGCCACAAAGCACTGTACAAAAGTTGGAACGGCCGGACAGTGCAAAACTCCAAAACTTGCACACTTGTCCGCCCAGACTCCAGGCTCACTGTCCGAAACTGCGGAGGGTCCGTGGATTCCTAGGAGGACCGTCCAGGAAACTACTTGTGCAGGCTGGGAGCTGTACAAAAATGGACAGTCAACGTTCCACGTGATTTCTGACGACTGTCCGAGGGATTTCGCACATGGACAGTGGACAGTAAGTGGAGCAAAGTAGAACTGTCCATTTTTGTACAGTGGACAGTAGTGGAGCTAGACCCATAGAGTGCCCGCTGACAGCTCTCTGCCGGGTTTCAAGAGTTTCCCCATAGAGGGCCTCTCTGCACTACTCTGGAAATTCACAAAACGAGAGACTCAATGAATCTTCCTTTAGATTATGGAAAGATACACCCCCATGATTTTTGTCTTTTGTGCATGTCGAGAGTAGTGCAGCGATGCCCAGAGAGTAAGTGCAGCGATGACCCACTCTCGCGAGGCCCATAATTTTCTATTGTACGTTCTAGTGCGAGTATGCCCTGAGTTGTGCAGCGAAGCCCGTACTGACTATAGGACGTCCTACCTGGAAGTAGGGCCTGCCTCCATCACACACCATTGGCAATGTATCTGGAGCTCGTTATGGTCCCATGCATTCGAAGTATTGGATATCGAGTGTAGCTGGAGAAAACACGAGTCCCCCACACGTTTTTTTTTCCTTTTTTCTTTTCTTCTTTTTTCTTTTGGTACTATTCAGGGCATAGCCACATCACTCTCCAAATGTGCAAACGGAGAACGAACTTCGTCCCAGAACATGGCCAGATGCACCCGCCACGTTTTGTGTTTTTCTCATTTCGATAGGCTATTACCCGTGTGGCCAGGCCCTCAGTCCAAAAACGTTTCCTGGACCAACGCTGTGTAGTAGAGCGAGGCGCGTACAGGACCCGCCGTGACGCTGATCCACAGGATTTTTTATTTTTTTTTTCACACGAATTTTCTGATGACCACAAGTAGTTCGAGTCCTGCCACCCGTCAGAAGAAAACGACGGGACTGAGGGCCTCGCTCCACTACTCACCAAATGTGCAAAATGATTCTTCCCACCTTATTTTGGCTTTTGTGCATTTGTGAGTAGTGCAGCCAGCCTGTTCCTCCTCTTTCCTCTGACTGCTCTCTCTGTCTCTGTCTCTCTCTCTCTCTCTCTCTCTCTCTCTCTCTCTCTCTCTCTCTCTCTCTCTCTCTGTGTGTGTGTGTATGTGTTGGTGGTGGTGGTGTGTGGAGAGAC